TATACATAATATCTTAAATTAATTGCACTAATTAATGCAATTAATGTAAGGTATTATATATATATTATTTAAATTGTATATATACATAACCATTAGGGTATATATATATATATATATATATATATATATATATATATATATATATATATATAGATAGATAGATAGATAGATAGATAGATAGATATATGGTTTCTAGTACAAAATTTTATGACCGCCATGAAAAGACAAAATATATAGATAGATAGATAGATAGATAGATAGATAGATAGATATATGGTTTCTAGTACAAAATTTTATGACCGCCATGAAAAGACAAAATTTACTTTTATTACGACTCATGATGATAATAGGCAATACATTTTTTTATCTATTATCATCTTGAGTGGTAATAAAAATAAATATTGTCTTTTTATGTTGATTATATATATATATATATATCACTCTGTTCTCTCTGGTCTTATATATATACGTAAACATATTTATGTGTGTGTCTGTCTGTCTCATATTTTAATCTTTACCAGAAACATTACATAGATCCTGAGCACAAATGCCGATCCATACTTAAATAATCTCGTCATCTATTTACGTCTGCTATTCGTGATTACTATGAAAACACAATCGAAATAAACAGTGTGATATTGTTTTAAATTTAACCAACAAACATTTGCTACACATTGTCCATTTATTCGCATTTCACTGAGATAAAGAATAGGTATAATGTATTGTCTTAATAAACAATTCAAATGTGTAAAGTACAATGTGTGTGTGTGTGTGTGTGTGTGTGTGTTTAGAACACACAGGTGCTACACTGATCCTCGGCAAAGTGATTATCAATCCATAAATAAACCCATTATAAATTTTAAAATCATTTCAAACGAATCAAGGTGACAAATGTCATCAAGAGGAAAAGGGGTTACTGAGTGTGAAACAAATGTAATCCTTAAATTCGTGAAGTCGAGGTATGGAAGAACATACGAACAATTATCGTGAAAATCTATATAGAGAAATCACAAGGAAGGTACCTTACTGCGATGAGAAAGGGACCACTTTACGGCAATTATTCTAATATAATTATATTGAAGACCCATGTTTCACTTCCTGCTAGAGTACAAGAAAGGGACCACTTTACGGCAATTATTCTAATATAATTATATTGAAGACCCATGTTTCACTTCCTGCTAGAGTACAAGAAAGGGACCACTTTACGGCAATTATTCTAATATAATTATATTGAAGACCCATGTTTCACTTCCTGCTAGAGTACAAGAAAGGGACCACTTTACGGCAATTAAAGTGCAAGTATTGGCTAGCAGTTATGTTGTTTTTTTTTGGGGGGGGGTCATTCATAAAACATGAAATCCCTATTTTTTTTATCCGTTAAAATTATGGTTTTCAAAGTCAGTTTTCATATGCACAACACATTGTTCTATGTTCTATGGCCAAATCATTCTCTTGAAATCCGGAAACTGTTTCTCTCTTTCTTTTTTTTTTTTTTTTTTTAGAATAAAGGTAAAATGTTTTGTGAATAGAATGCCTTTTCTAAATGATACTCTCGCTTTAATATTAACGAAAAATATCCTAACGAAGACAATGGTGCCATATTCCCTTTCAACGTATTCTACCTTATCAACTCACCCCGTGCAAAGCGTTAATGCCACTAAGATGCAAAGTGCTACTGGTAGTGAAATAGAATGCAAAGACTTTAAAAAGAAACGGAAACCTAATCCTAAACAGAAAACAAGGGATAAACTTTTTCGACTGTACAAAAGACCGGGGAGGAGTATGAACCGGACTTGGGATGTCACTTAATCATCCTATCGTCCCTTCGATTTTTCGAAAGAGTCTACCGAATCATCCTAAAGGATTCTTCGGGATCGCCATCAGTTGATTCGTTTCTTTCTTCTTAATTCATAATGTCGGCCTGAATTCACATTTCTAACATCGATGTTAGCTTTGGGGTAATCAGGAACCACATGGAACTAAATTCCGACTGCAGTGGGTAGGGAACACTGAGAAACCCGGGTGAAGCAATGTTTTGCCACAAAAAAAAGCAACAGTGCAAAACATCATTTCAATGTTATGGTTGCACATCACAACGTTTACTCAGTAGCGCCTGACTGCCAATTAAATGGGAGAACATCTGTTGCCACCTGCACAGTAACGTCCCTTCGGCTTCGTTGCCAAGTCAACCAAGACAGGCCAAGCCATTTATAATGGCGAGATACTCATTTCGTCACAACTACCACTACATATGCCGAACAAACGCTTTGCTTTTAGAGGAACGAGAATTCAAATAGATTTATTGTTTCATCCGAGGCTTTTCGAGCTGCGTCTGTTTGATGCACGTGTGCCATTCAAAACTCATTTAAAAGGATAGAAATATTTTGACAATCTCCTTTTCTGATGAGATTATGGGTGGAGTTTGTTTTACTGCGTTCGACACTTACAGAAATGTCCCACTTCAAAGATTAATGGGTGACCTCAGAATATAATGTTTATGCAATAAAAATGCAACGCATTGTTGTGCCTACTTTCGTCGTAGATGGTTAGGATATGTTAAGAAACGGTGCGACCATTTGTGATGAAAGAAGCACAAAGGTCACAACCTAAAGGAACTCAAATTGAGGCCCGGGGGGGGCTTATTTTTGTTTTTATTTTACTTTATGCATCGATTTTTTTGCTTTTGTTTTACTTTAGTTTTTTAATTGTTTTTAATTATTTATCAATTAATCTAAATTTTTTTCAATTTTCGGTTCGTTCTAAAAGGAGTTTATTTTTTAATCGCTATCACTCCATGCAAGGCAATAAAGCCACTAAAACACAAGGGGGTTACAAGGTGTGGAATATAATTACGAGCAGAAATATCAATAATGAGTGGGAAGAGAAGAGAGTAATTAGAAGGGCGGTAGATAGCGATTGACATTGCATTTAAATTTTTGCAGATTAAAGTTGGTTGGAAAGTATGGAATCAGAAGGGTGTTCCGCAAGTACAAGTCTTAGTACTGTGCTGAAATTCAAAAAGTTCAAAAAATTTTTAAAAAAGCTTGCATACTTCTCTTGATAGAACTGAATGATAATTTCTATTTTAAACGTATTAGACTCGTTTTTTTACTACATGGTCAGCCAATACAAGTCACAAGAGCCACTGAAGGTAGAGGGTTATTTTTGTGTGGATGTAGGAAGGGAGTTTAAAGTTAGATTAGGGGCATACACACAACAGGTAAAGTAATGAAGAAACTGTCCGAATAGAACTTCCTCCTTACTAATGAAATACGAAGTCGATGACAATGGTTCACTCCTGGATATATTTCATGGCAGGTTTTAGTTGTAAATGTCTGATCTGGTGGAACTGGACAATATTGTTCGTCAGAACATTGTAAAATAGTCGATATATCGGTAAAATCGAGAGACATATTAGGCTGCGCCTGTAGGAGAAGTATTATAGATTTTAAAATAATCCATCGCCCATAAGGCCGCGCAAACCCCTTGATTGATTTTTTACGGCTTATCAGCCTTTTTCAGGTTATTTAAAGACAAAAAAATATTTTTTAGAAGGTAACAATGTATTGGAGATAATAATGATTTACTGATACAAGTCCTACTAATTAACCCATAGCTAGGGGAGAAGATAACAGGTCATCCCATAAGTTCTGGTCGAATTTTGAATAAAGAAAACAAGTGACCAAATGTTACATTTAATTACAGATTCAATCAACAATGTATTTTCCCTGATTATCTATGACTTCCTTCCATCTATTAACAAGCTTACTAATTCTTTTGGCTTTGATTCGAAGAACTCACAAATGTCAGTTTTAACCTCTTCCTGTGTTACAAAAGCTGTTTCTTCCAAATGATTCTGTAAGTTACGAAACAAATGGTAGTCTGAAGGAGCAAGATCGGGAGAATAATGTGGATGAGGAATTTTCTCCCAACCAAGTTCTTCGATCTTTTGTGACGTGATTCTTGCTGTGTGGGGTCGCGCATTGTCCTGATGAAACATCACCTCTTTTCGATTCACTAGCGCAGGTCTTTTTTTTCTCAAATCTTGCTTCAAACACCCTAATTGCTGACAGTATATTTGAGCATTAATTGTTGCATTAGGTGGTAAGAATTCAAAGCGGATTATTCCTTGGCGATCCCACCAGATTGAAAGAAGAACCTTTTGCACATGAAGTTCCCTTCTCGGCTGTGGCTGGGGTCCTTCCCCTTTACCAAGCCACTGTCTACGACGCTTAACATTTCGATAAAAGATCCATTTTTCGTCGCCAGTCACAAGTCTATCCAAAAAAAGGTGAAACAAGTTGAGAATGAAGAGAAGAGCAGATGTCAACTCGGGATTTGAGGTTGTTTTCAGACAATTCATGAGGCACCCATTTTCCAAGTTTAGGAACTTTTCAAGTTGTTGAAGATGACGATGAACAGTTGTATGGTTTGAACTGAGAACCACTGCCAATTCCTCAACTGATAAAGCAGGATTTTCTTCAAGGGCTGCTTCAAGAAGCTTTTCATCAAACTCAACTGGACGTCCGGTTCGATCTTTTAAGGGTGAAATCTCCACCTCTGAATTTTGCAAACCATCTTCTGCAAGTTCTTTCATTCACACTTTCCTCTCCATAAACTGAGTGAATGTTTCTAGCCGCTTCGGCTGCTGAGTTTCCTTTCTTGAACTCATAAAGCATTATGTGCCTCAAATGATTCTTGGGTACTTCCATGTTAGCAGGGTTTTAATCAAACAAAATTTAATTTTATTATTCTCTGAAATAAAATTTGATCAGTTTAAATGCATCTAAACATAAAAATAATGTTCAGCTCCATTAGACATTATAAAATACTCTTTAAAGTTCGTTTATTTTAACAAAAAGTTAAAATTCGGACAAAACTTATGGGATTACCTGATATTTGCGCGTATGAGAATATAACGAACAGGAGGGTAATTGGAACTCGGCTCTCCGATTTCCAACTACCAGAGTTTATCCACTGTGCCAGCCGCACATCCGTAGCTTACAGCACGTGATACTCCCATGCGGTTACCCATCTAGGTACTGACCAGGCCCGGCGTTGTTTAACTTCGGTGATCGTACGCGAACCGATGATTGGACGTGATACGGCGTAAACGCTTTTGAACTCTATCGAATATAGAAAGAGAGGATTATCCCCGACGTTCACGGTGCGAGTTGTGCACACTACAAGAGTTGTGCCCAAACATGACTGACTCATTGGTGAAGACACAGCTCGCATGTGTATGGTTTGAAACGGCAGATAACATTTTTTACCAAGCAAAAGGATGAGGCAATTTATTTGCCGTCAGTCCCACTAGGAATCCTGGAGCTATCATGAAAAGCGTATTGAAAATTCTGGAGCACATGACACACGGACGTTAGATTAATTTTTGGAGTAAGACCAACAAAAAATGCTCGTTTAAAACGAATTAGGATTTCTTGAAGGTTAAATCAATAAAAAGATATTAATAGTACTTTTAATTCGTGTTGATTTCAAAAAGTCAATTTTATATGTAGCCTCTCTCTCTCTCTCCTCTCTCTCTCTCTCTCTCTCTCTCTCTCCATATATATATATATATATATATATATATATATATATATATATATATAGAGAGAGAGAGAGAGAGAAGTCTGTTCTGGATAGTGCGTTTAAAAACGCAGTATCCAGACGGGCTAAATCACAAATTTAACAATATCGATAATATGAATATATAACCTCACAAATCAGGACCTACCCACATTCCTCAGCCACACAAGACAGACGTGCTTGCGGAGATGTTGAGGCCTCACATTTATACACACTCCCACACGAATATACACGCTTACACACATCATACTCACTCACTCCCTAAGAACCAAATAACACACACACTTAACAGAGACACATGCCCTTTCCAGGAACCAATAAAACTGTCAAAATGACCAAAGGAATTCAGAGCAGCATGAATCCATCCAGCTCTTATCTTAAATAACAACTTAAAAGAGACTGTTTGACCAACACAAGGATTGATCAAAAATAAAAAACAAATGAAAACTACAGACAAAAGTTCATTTTCTCCATCAAGTCATTCATTTCTGCAGTTCACTGCTTCTAACAAGCAGAACATTTTTTCTCCTGATGATGGCCATGTTGGCCGAAACTAGTCGAAGAATCTAACTGAAATAATAAAAACGAAAGAATATTAATCTACAACCCAGTGTGTCTGAAGATTTTAAGTTTTTAATATTTTTTATTGTTCAAAACATATATATATATATGTGTGTGTCTGTGTGTGTGTATTATAAATTCTATTTCTGTCAAAAGTGATATTTGCCAAAAAAAGCAACTAAATTCAGAGAATAAAGGTTAAATCAAAGATATTAATAGTACTTTTAGTTCGTATTGATTTCAAAAAGTCAGTTTTATATGTAGCCACTATATATATATATATATATATATATATATATATATATATGTCAACCGAAAATGTAGGGAAATTTAAGACATAAAATATTTGAAACACCCACCTTTAAGCTACCCCTTAGTTCTCCCTAGGATAAAAAAAAGTTCTTATTTAAAACCTTCAATCACTTCAGCAGCCGACATGTAGCAAACCGTAGAAGCGATGCCGTTTTGGAGACAGTGTGATATTATGCTGCCCAAACAATGTCCACTATAAACAATTTATGTGCAGGTTGTTTAGTAAACAGCATCAACATAATTTAGGCTCTAGAAATTCTGTGGCGTTGAAGGGGTAGTGACGGGAACGGGTGAAAGGTGTCACTGGAGCTTCCCAGCTTGAACTTTCCACATGAATGGTGAAGGGTAGATGGCTATTTAGAACAACATCTGTGAGTAATTGTGTAAAATCGTGTCCTCTTTCAATAACAAAGCAGCCCTTTTTAGGACAACACTGCTTCCCGCCGAGGAGGAGGAGGATGGGTCTAGAATATGGGACCTGCAAATTGCTTACATACCTGTCATTCGGTGCACTTGACTTGGAATCTATAATCGGCACCAGGAAAATAAAGAAGTCAAACATTAAAGATCTTTTCACTGGGTCTTGGAATGTAAAAACTTACCAGGATAATAAGAAAAACCATTAACATGGGACTGTTAATTGCCTTCACCCTAAAAAAGAAAAACATCGGCATAGCTGCTCTATCGGAAACTAGACTAACTGATTTTAGTCATCTACAGGACAAAGATAGTGGATATACCATTTTTGGGGGATTCGTAGGCCTGAGACAGCTAAGAGATGCAGAAGTTGTGTTTGCTATTTGGAACAACCTGCTGAAACATCTGGAATCTCTATCTGTTGGCATCAATGGAAGACTTACGTCTTTGTGTATTTGCATTGACAGAAATAAGTATACGACCATCTTTAGTTGCTATACTCCAGCCATGAAGTCTAGTGACGAAATTAAGGAGAATTTCTAATCTGAATTGCACAAACAATTGAGAAGAACTTCCATCCAAGAAAAACTTCTTTTCCTGGGTGATTTCAATGCGTGTGTAGGTTGTGATATATTAGTATCGAGTAGTGTAATTGGTAAGCATGGTTTTGGCAAGGTCAACTCAAATGGTCATCTATTGGTATCCCTTTGCATTGAGCGTGAACTTGTGATTATCCACACTATCTTCCAGCTTCTTAACCACAACAAAACTAGCTGGAGACATCCCCATTTCAACCACAATGACCACATCAACTATGTGATTGTGAAATCTTCCTCCAGGAAGGATGTAAAAATGATTCACTCATTCTTCATTGGTGAGTGTTGCTCTGACCATAGATTAATACGATAGCTTCACTATACGCCACCAGATCAAAGAGTAGATGTCAAAATGCTCATCAACACTGACAAAATTCTTTCAGACCATGGCAGCAAGCTTACAGATATCACGGACAATGCAGACATTGAATCATCGTGGTCTGTTTTCAGAAGTGCTGTATACGAGTCATCCTACGAAATACTTGGCGATGTCAAGAGGAAATATCAAAACTGGTTTGCCTCAACTGAAGCAATCATTCCCCCTCTTATGAACAAGCGCATTCGTCAATGGACGTCAGACAAGAACAATGTTACAAAGTGCAATGAGTTCAAGAATGGCAGAATCCTATGACAATTTCAATTACGGCAAATGAAATAAGCATGTGAGGTTGGGGGTTAGATGGCACAAGAATTGAAGGAGGCTGCTGATATATGCGACTTTAAATCATTCTATCTTAATCTAAGAGAGAGAGAGAGAAAGAGAAAGAAAAGAAGGTTGTGAAACAATAAAGAAAGAAACAATAAAACTAAATAAAGATTGAAAGTTTATTTTCAATAAATATTGCCATTAAATTTTCTTTTGAAAATTTATATAAACGGTTTCTGACAATGCAGTAATTAGTTGATTGTTGAGGCATGTTTCAAACATTAGTGCGTCATGGCTATTGCTGCTGTCAAAATAACGCACACTGGCTCGGGAGACTCCGATTGTAAAACCAAGAGTAGAATAGCAAAATGTTTATTTGCCGCAAAGTTAATTATCTTGAATTAACCTTTAATTATTAAGCTAATCGATTTGGAGAGCTAAAAAAGTGTAATATGTTACTCAAAGGTTTTCCTACATGCATCTGCCTATATATATATATATATATATATATATATATATATATATATATAGAGAGAGAGAGAGAGAGAGAGAGAGAAAGAGAGAGAGGAGGCACGGTCGAGTAATGGATAGCGGCTTGGATTGAGGAATCGGAGAGCCGAGTTCGAATTCCAGTGGAATCCATTACATTCACTTACGTGCTAATACCCTTGGGAAAGGTGTGAATCTTCCTCTTCTCGCTCCAGCTATGGGTAAATAGCAGGACAGACTGGATGGCAACTGATCTACGAGAAGGACAACTCTGAATTCAAAACCTGAATTAGTGCACCAGGTTCGGCCCTTCAAAAAGTGTGGATGGTCCTGCACGAAACCTTCACCACTATAATCAAATCTCATGTGCTGTTATCAGGCTGTCGGTTTCCTGGGAACTGATCTGCTTGACCCTCATGTCGAATATCGACGGGAGAGTCGACTATATATATATATATATATATATATATATATATATATATATATATATATATATATATATATATATATATATATTATAATAAAAAGAAAGAACAGTAAGAAATATAATCCGGTGTTCTTATTGATATTTTTATTTTTACAAAACAGTGCTCAATGTAAATTTACAGAGCATAAATATTAATTAACTGATTTAAAAAATATGGTTCCTTCGCCACGCAGGAATTACCATGTTTCAAAAACCGAATCTAAAAACTTCAAATTTAATTATATAATTAAATTAAAAGCATTAGGTCTGTTTCATCTTCAAGCGAATTTTGGAATAACTTATTTTTAAATTTACTGAGTTTTAAACGCACATACAATTCATAATTTTTTGTTTACATGGATACAAAGACATCCAATCATTTAGACAGGGGCAGTAGCGTGTTCATTTTTATCAATTATGAGTTACGTTCGAAAAAGAGGTTAAGTCTAGGGAGGGTAGACATCCATTGAACGCACATCGTCTGTTTTTTTTGTTTTTGTTTTTTTTTTTTTCTATCAACGAGAAAAAAGTTTTCCAGCATTTTTTTCCATTAAATTCGTACATGTATAGATAAAGATTCTTTCTAAAAGGGGTGTTTGGGTCAGAATACGTTATATTGAACTACAATTTTAAAATATTATTTTTACTCTTAATTACTAATAGACTATATTTCGTTTTAAAACAAATAAATGTACAGAATTACTTAAATTATTTAAAAATTATTATTACATATCAAGTATGTATATTACCATTTCCCATTTTTTTAAATTATTTTATTTTTAAATATTATTTAAGGAATGTCAGCAAAGAATAGCTATTTCATTTCTTTGATTCAGTAAATTTTTATTTTTTATAAACTTAGTAATATATAGTTTCTCATGTATGCACAAAGGACATGGGTCATTTAATGACCTACATATTCCAGCTTTTCTTATTAATTTCCATTTTACTGTAGGTGTTTTATTGGTTTCTTTTAAGTGCCAGAAAATATATACATATATGCACGTTTGGTTAAATAATGT